TAAAAGAAGTTTTAACAGATTAAAACAAGACTTTTAACAGATTAAAAGATTATTTTAACAGATTAAATAAACCAGCAGTTTGGAAAATCTTCTATATAAATAGAATTGCTTGAACCTTTTGAAACATATCTTTTGGCAATCAATCAAGCAATCATAAGTGCTACTTTCAAGAGAGAATCGCGCTAGTTTTGTGAAGTTCTTAGAAGTTCTTTCTTAAGGCAATATTTGCATTCTTTTGGAGAACAAACTCATTCTGCAGAAGCCGCATAAACCTGGTGTAGGTGTTCTAGTTTCTTCTCTTTGTTTCTTTACTTTCTTTATCGTATTGTGGGTGCCTAGAATTGTGAGCACCTGGTTTTCGTAGGTCGGAATTTGGTCAGTAGGGTTGTTCAAGAACTAGAATTTGGTTCTTGGTAAAGGTTTAGGTGCAAGGACTGGAATTTTGGTTCTTATGGTAGATTGAGTGTGGGATTGAAGTTGTAATCTGTAAAACGTTCAATCTAGTGGAACCCAGCTGGAATTTGGCTGGAAACTGGACGTAGTCCTGGGATTGGGTGAACCAGTATAAATCTTGGTTGTATCTTTCTCTCTTTAATTCTGGAACTGTCTTTACTTTGATTGCTTGCTGTGTTTGATTCAAGAACTGGTCAGAATTCTTAATCTTTAAAATAGATAATCTGTAAATTGCGAAAATCTTTCAAAGATCAATTCACCCCCCCTCTTGATCTCAGCCTACATTTCTAACAGATGGGTGTATGTTGTTCTACTCAGATGAAGATAAACAATTATCTACATGTAAGTTTTGTCAAAAACCTCGTTATAAGTCAAAAAAAGTGGGTAGAGGTAAATATAAAAATGTCCCTGTGAAGAAAATGCATTATTTACCCCTCATTCCTAGGCTTAAGAGATTATATGCTTCAATGAGTTTTGCTCCACATATGAGGTGGCATTGTGAAAATAAGAGAAATGAGGGACATTTGTGTCATCCATCAGATGGAGAAGCATGGAAACATTTTGACAAGATATTTCCTGATTTTGCAATTGAACCAAGAAATGTAAGATTAGGATTATGTGTTGATGGTTTCACCCCATATGATCAATTAGGAAAACCATATTCTTGTTGGCCAGTGATTATAACTCCTTATAATTGACCACCATAATTGTGCATGACTACCCCCTATATGTTTTTAACTTTAATTATTCCTGGGCCCAAAAATCTAAAGGAAAAAATAGATGTATATTTGCTTGACAGAAGAGTTAAAAATATTGTGGAATGAAGGTGTGTTGACATATGACATTTCCAAAGAACAAAATATTACGATGAAAGTTGCATTGATGTGGACTGTTAATGATTTTCCTGCATATGGTATGTTGTATGGTTGGAGTACAGCTGGAAGATTGGTTTGCCCATATTGTATGAATAATTCAAAGAGCTTTTGGTTAGATAGTGGTCATAAGTTTTCTTGGTTTGATTGTCATCGTCAATTTTTGCCTATGAATCATGCATATCGAAGAAATAAGAATGCATTTTTAAAGAATCAAAGTGAAGATTCCCAACCTTAATTGATATTTTCTGGGGATGATGTGTGAGAGCAAGTTGCTTATTTTCCAAAAGTAAATCAGGAAGTACAATTTACATGTTATGGTTGTGGTGTATATAATAATTGGATAAAACAAAGCATTTTTTGGGAGTTACCATATTAGAATTCCAACATGTTAAGGCATAATCTTGATGTCATGCATATTGAGAAAAATGTGTTTGATAATGTGCATAATACAATGATGGATATCAAAGATAAGACCAAAGATTATATCAAGGCAAGAATGGATGTAAAAAAGTATTGTCAGAGAAAGGAGTTAGAATTGCAACAATTACCTAATGGAAAAGTTATAAAGCCTAAAGCGCAATTTGTCTTATCTAAGGAGCAAAAAAGTGTTGTCTATAAATGGATTAATGAATTGAGAATGCCTGATGGTTATGCCTCAAATTTGCAAAGATGTGTAAACATAGAGTAAGAAAAAATGATTTGAATGAAAAGTCATGATTGTCATATATTTATTGAGCAGTTAATGCCTATTGCTTTTAGTGCACTATATCAAATTTGGAAACCAATTGCTAAGTTAAGTAAATTCTTCGAAGATATATGTTCAACTATTTTGCGAGTGGATGATTTGTTATTAATGGAACAAAACATTGCAATTACATTATGTAAATTAGAACGATTCTTTCCATCTGCATTCTTCAATTCAATGGAACATTTACTTATTCATTTGCCTTACGAAGCAAGAGTAGGAGGTCTTGTTCAATATCGGTGGATGTATCCATTTGAGAGGTACTACTTTTTAATTATTAAATTTGAACATGCATACTTGTGTTATTTGAAATTATAATAACCATATGATGGTCTTGCATTAGATACTTGAATAAGTTAAAAAATATGGTTAAGAACAAGGCACGTGTGGAAGGTTCAATATGTGAGACATATCTAGTGCAAGAGACTTCTCATTTTTGTTCATATTATTTTGATACTCATGTGCAAACAATGAGAAATAAAGTCAGCCACAATGATAATGGAGGTGAACATGTAGAACTAGATTGTGTATCAACAATTTTTAATCATCTTGGTCGCTTTAGTGGAAGATCTTCATGTCGATACTTAAATAAGAAAGAATTAGAAGTTGCACATTTGCATTTGTTACTTAATTGTGAAGAAGTTCAACCATTATTCAAGTAAGAACCAAAAATCATTTTGGCATGCATTTTTCATGCATAAAACCACTAACACAATGTTATGTATAAATGTTAGAATATTTGAACAATTTCTAGAAGCAGTGAATCCAAACATCACTCAAAGAGAAATTGAGGCTCGGATTGCTTCCGATTTTCCTAGATGGCTTCAAACATATGTAAGTTTTAAAAATATTTTGTAAATTAATGATAAGAATAATTTATGTTCTCACATTAACCTATTCATTCATACTATATTTATCATTCGTTTAGGTTCACGATAGGAACAATATGGTTCAAAGTCAATTTTTACATGACTTAGCATGGGGTCCACGAAAAAAGGTTTTTACATGGCCTATCTATTTTGTCAATGGTTTTAAGTTTCATACGGAAGAATGGAGCATTAGAAAGAAAACTGTCAATTGTGGAGTTTGTGTTAAAGGGGATGATATTGAAAATGAAGAAAACTATTATTATGGTATCATCAAAGAGATTATGCAACTTGAATACATAGAAGAGCCAACAAAAGAATTAGTTGTATTCAATTGTCAATGGTTTGATTCTAAAAGGAATCGTGGTGTATGAGTTCACAAGGAATATGGTATAGTGGAGGTTCATCATTGTAGAAGGTATTTGAATTATGATCCTTTCGTACTTGCATCAAATGCAATTCAAGTATATTATATGCCTTATCCTGAAAAGGTTAAGGAAAAGGTAGATTGATGGGTTGTAATTAAAACCAAACCAAGAAGTATGGTTGATGATCAATATACACTAGAGGTTGCCTATTAACATGGTCTTTTTAATACTCAACTTGTGTCAAATGATGAAGTACTTGGTCAATTAAGAGATGATGAAGGTGAACATGAAGAGCTAGTATAGAATGAATTATTTGATGGAAATGAACACAATGAATATAATGTGGAAGATGTAGAAATCAATGAAAAACAGTATGATGAGGAAAGTGAATTTGATGATGATTACAAATCTGATGATGATGATCAAAATGCTGATAACTCATATAAATTTGATGAAGAAAGTGACGTTCATGTCGATGATAATGATGATTATAATGATAATGATGATGATGAATGATTTTTGTATTTTCGTAAATGGTGAGTATTTAATAATTATAAGCACACTTAATAATGTTCCCATCAAATTATTTTTTTGTTGTTTCAAACATTTCAATAAATATGTTATTTGTTTAATTCATTACTATAACTTCTTAAATATATGCAATTTGCTTACACATTTTTGTTGTTTTTTGTTATATTTGAAGATGACAGACAAAAAGAAAACCAAGTTTATTTTAAAAAGTCATTTAATGAAGCATCGATTCAATCAATTACCAAGAAATAGCATATTTGGACCACAAGTTGGACATCCATTAGTTGGAACTATTGCAGAACATGTTAGTTCTACCCCTTCAGTACAAAATAAGTCTACTGATGGTCGTACTCCAGCACTTGGAGGAAGTTATAAATCTCTTCCATTAACTTCTCCATCATTAGGATCACAATCACCACATGAGACACCTTCCCCACAAAGTCTTCAAGCATCTAACCCTCAAACTGAAGGCACATTTGTTTCTCATGATGATCACAATGTCTTAGATGTTCAGAGCACTTGTGTGATAAACCCATTTTAACACTTGATGGATATAGGTAAATCACTTAAATTTTAACAATTTTATATTTTGTTCACATTCTATAAAACTTGTACTTTATGAGTTTATTTGTGTTGTAGATTTTTGCCTTCATACTTTGTAGCTAATGCCATTGGTGATATTTTCAAAAGTCATTACACTGATGCATGACCATCATGGAAAAAGGTACCTTAAGCTATTCAAGACATGTGGTTTAGTGAGTTCATGGTATGTATTTATATTAGTTCTTAACTTTAAAATAAGTTCTAATTATTGAATGTACTGTAACATTTACTTGTTTTGTTTGGATACAGAGAAAATATACTATTTTCCCACCTGATCATAGGTTGGCTAGAAGGAACTTTGAAATGCGAGGTGCCAACATATTGAAAAGTTCATTAAACAAGGCACACATGATAATGAAGAAGCCAAATTGACTTGCAAAAGATGTATGGGATATCTTATGCCAACATTGGGGATCAATACAATTCAAAGTAAAAAGTTTGACTGCAAAAGAAAATCGAGTTTTTGATTATGGTGGACTTGGAATGTCGCTCCATGATGTTGGCTCCATTAGCACTTCTCAACATAGAGAAAATTTGGTAAACTTCGCTTTATACTGGTTTATGCATGTATTGGTCCTATGCCAGAAGATGAGTCAGATGTTTCATCTGTTTGTGTATCACCCTTGAATCCAATCTTCGTAGCTTCAGTGTTCTCCTTCATATAAGAAATATTCTGAGTATCTTTTATTTCACTCATTTCAGTGTTATTGTTGTGTGTTTCATTTGATGCCACAAATTTTGTTGTCTTTTCTAATTCACCATCCTCTAGATTAGAAGATTCACCTGCAGCTACATCTCCCTTTTCTATTTCAACAAGGACTGTTGAGTTAGAACCAGGATTGTTTTCTTCAGAGACCTTATTGCCACCCTGCACTAATCCTTGTGTTGGCACATTTTTTACATCTTCATTGACTATTGTGTTCATGGTACCATTTTGAGTTTGGTTTATGTGAATTATACCATTGGACTACATTTAAGTATGGAAAGAATGTAACATTAGTTAGTTCAAATTTGATTGCATGATGTTGTTTATGTTGTAAGAGAAAAATAGTTATTACATTACATATAGTCATGACTTGACAAACTTCTTTTCTTTTATGGTGGATATTGCACTTCTAAGTTTGTGTTCATAATCATATTTTAGACAAAGTTGAATGGAAAACTCCCTACCCCATCAGAGTTGTTTTGCAAAACACACCAACGAAAGGATAACACATGGGTGGATCAAAGATCAGCACATGTGGATGTAAGTTCCTTATTTTTCTTTATATGTTAATTTCTTAAACAATTGTATACTTTTTTTTGTTTTTATCCAATTAACTACTATTCTGTTTTAATGTTTATAGGAAGAGTTTAGTTGTGCATGGGAAGAAGCCTTCCAATCAGGATCTATTGCAGGAGGCTCTCCTCCTGATGAATACAGGTTTGGTGTAAAGTTTCTAGAATAAACAAAGGCAAAGTATATGGGCTTGGATCTTTGTCAAGCAAAGCAATTGGGAGAAATCTTTGTCAGGACTCTATTTCATCATCTGTCCAGCTTATGAGAGAGGAGATTGAACAATTAAAACACAAGTTACAGGAAGTTGAGACTGAAAGGGATGATCTCCGTGGAAGAATGTTAACCAATGAGAGACAAATTCAGAAAAATGATAAAATGTTGTTCCTCTTTATGGAGAAGATGGATGTTCAACTTCCCGAATTTTGAACTGATACTTCTATTCTATATATTGTATTTGTTTTGTTAGTTTCGACATCTCTAGAATTATATATTGTATTTGTTTTGTTAGTTTTTGACATCTCCGAATTGACTCTTACTTTAGTTTATTCTACTTATTTTTAGATTGAATTTTCAATGTAAGAAAATATTTAATCTATCAATGATTAATTTATGTAGAACAAAATTTGTGGTATTAATTTTGATAGTTATATTAGGTAATGTAATTTTGATATATTTAATACAATATATAATGTATTTCATATTCCTTAATCAGGTTTATCGTTATTTAAAAAAAAAAATCAGTGACCGATATAGTGATTGATTCGATCGGTCACAAAATCGGTCACTGAATCGGTCACTGAATCGATCACTGAATTGGTCACTGAATCGATCACTGAATTGATCACTGATTTGGTCACTAATTCAGTCACTGAATCAGTTACTAAATTGGTCACTAATTCGGTCATTGATTTGGTCACTGATTCAGTCACTGATTCGGTCACTGAATCGGTCACTGATTCGATCACTGATTCGGTCATTGAATCAATCACTGAATTGATCACTGAATCGGTCACTGAAATCAGCGACCAAGGAAAGAATGACCAATTTGAGTTGGTTACTATTTCGGTCACTATTTTAGTTAGTGACCGATTTTGGTCATTTAGTGACCGAAAATTCAGTCACTATTTGATGTTTTTGTTGTAGTGGTAAAGAGTGTCTTCTTGAATGACTACATAAATGAGGACTGTTTGTTGCTCAAATCCTTAGATTTGAAGATCATAAACACCCAATCTGTGTACAAACTCAAGAAAGCTTTGTATGGTCTGAAATAAACAACAAGATAATGGTATGAAAGATTAAGTAGTTTTCTAATCTCTCAGGGCTACAAGAGAAGTGAGGTTGATAAAACTTTGTTCATTAAGAAAATTAATGTTGACATTATCCTTGTACATGTTTATGTTGCTGATTTATGTTTTGAAGCAATTCATGATAACCTCACTGAGAAGTTTAAGAAAGAAATGTAGAGCAAATTCAAAATGTCAATGATGGGAGAGTACAAATTCTTCCTAGGACTTCAAGTCCAGCATGCAAAAGGCTAATTGGATCACTTCTTTATCTCACTGCATGCAGACTTGATATCATGTTTAATGTAGGCATGTGTGTCAGGTTTCCATCTCCACCAAAGGAATCACACTTGACTATAACTAAAAGAATACTGAAATATATTAAGGGAACCATAAATGTTGGTCTTTAGTATCAATTAAAAACTTGTTGGGTTTTTTAATTTGACTTTGTAAGATGCAAACAGGATAGAAAAAGTATTAGTGAAACTTGTCATCTCTTAGGGAGTAGCTTCTTCTCATGGCATAACAAAAAGCAAGCTTGTGTGGCTCTCTCTACATTAGAAGCAATTTACATAGCAGTTGGGAGCTGTTTTACTCAATCTTTATGGCTAAAGAAGAAATTACAAAATTTTGGATTATACCTGACCAAGATACCTTTGTTATATGATAACATATGTGCCATTAATCTTACTAAGAATCAAATTCATTATTCTAGAACTAAGCATATTGAGATCATGCATTATTTCATAAGAGACCATTTGTTCCAAAGGTGATTATGAAATAATGTTCATTGAAACGGATAAACAACTTGTTGATTCATTTACCAAACCTTTACCTAGGGAAAAGTTAAACATGTTTAAAATTGAATTAGGAATTCTAGACATGGCTAGTATTAATTGAAATCACAATACATTGTTGATTTTGTCACATTCTACATCTTTTAACTAATGAAAATTTGACTTAATCGATTAAAATACTAAGAGGAAGGAATGTGGATCATGATAATCTCTATTTTAATCGATTAAAGTGTTGAAATAATCAATTAAAAACCACTAAAACTTAGATACTTTCATAAGTGTTCTCTTTTTTAATTGATTAATTCGTTGAAATAATCAATTAAAATCACTAAATCATTTTTTTGTTGAATTAACCTCTTCGAATTAATCAATTAATTAAGATTTGTATCAATTACTTTTATTCAAATCCATATCCTTCTGCAATTTTAATCAATTAAAAATGATTGTTGTTTCTAATATACTTTTCTAAGCATAATTTAATCGATCATATGATATAATAATCAATAAAACTACTCTTAGATCCTTGTAGTACTTTTAATTACTTATGGGAACACTATTGTAGCATCTCCTTCAATTTAATTAGTTCAAATCTCACTTAATCTGAGTCAAAGATACAAGATAAACATCATTCATTCACTGTACAAGGTGGGTTAATATGATTAGCCAAGAGGAAAAGACAAAATCTTTGACTAGGTCAAACATTAGTTAAAGAACATTTTGACTGATGCAACAAAGCATATTCTTTACAACCCACAGCCCAATTTTTGTAGTAGTATAAGTGACCCAGGAGACAAGGCAGGTAACACATTTAATTTCAATTTCTTATTGAAATCAAATACAATAAATGTTAAATACTCTCTCACGTACTATTATTATATACGTTGGTTGATTCTAATCTTCCTCACTTAACAAACTTGCACCAAGTTGTTGTTTACGTTATAGCTTTCAATGACTGATTCAGTTTTAAAAACATTGGTTTTAGTCAATCAAATGAGTTTTCATCAATTAAAACAACTTATTGAAATTTTCATATGTTTTTCCTTTTCTATTTTAATCGATTAAAACTACGAAATAATAAATTACTTATTTTAGTAGAAATAACCGATTAAATATATAATTTAATCGATTAAAACTAACAATTTTTTCTATATAAAATCGTTTCACTTTCTCTTTTCAAAAATATGATTTGTACAAACTTTCTGTGAAACTTACGTGCACTTTTCAGTGTGAATCAATTTGATCCTTGATGCATTTCATTTAATTTTTAGAGAGATTACGTATAGATTGAGATTTTGCACTTAGGGTATTAAATCTTTTCGTGTTATTTCTATCATTGTATTCTATTGTAATGGTGTATTAGTGGTACCTAGTTTTGGGAATTGGTTGTTGACAACTTGGTGTGGGTTGCTAGTTGATTCAAGAATGATTCTTGGGTGTTCACTAAGCTCTTGGGTAGACAGGTTTTTTTACCGGTATGTTGTTTGTAATTAAATATTGTTTTTAGTGGAACTTAACTGGTTTGTGCTAAGAACAAGATGTAACTCGGGTAGTTGGGTAAACCAATATAAATCTTGTGTTTTGTCTCTTTCTTTGTCTTAATTCTTGCATTGCATTCTAATTCCTGTTTTAGTCATCAATTAATTCTTAAAAGGATTGATTATGTTATTTGAAGAATTGGTATAATTCGAAAATATATTGAAAAAGATTTTATAAGATCAATTCACCCCCTCTTTATCTTAATCATTTTTCCTAACATTATTTATTTATTTTATCATAAGAATTGTGTGAAGTATCTCTAACATCATTCTATTTATTCTTTTTAATTTATTTTGTCTCCAATTACATAATGATCCTCTTTCATATTTATTTAAATTATTTCTAACTACGTACTGATCCTATTTTATATTTATTTATTTATTTATCTCCAATTATGTATTAGTTCTCTGTTATATTTATTTATTTATCTCCTGGTTACACACTAGTCTTTATTTATATTTATTTATTTATTTATCTCTAGTTAGACACAGATCCTCTTTGTTTATTTATTTATTTATATTATTTACCTTATCTCCAATGTTACAATTGTTTCTTTTATGAATTTATATTTCTACTATTTAATTATTTTTTAAAATTTTCTTAAAGAAAGATATTTTATTTATGAAGATTTGATGACATTCTAATTGCAGGTTAAACCTTGGGAATTGAAATGAATAAATATCAATAAAGAGTGGTCAATTTTGGACTTATTTATCTTGACTAGTTACTACAAAAATCAATTCAAATCTTCATAATAAAAAATAAATGGAATACGTTGATGTAATTAAAAAGTTGATTTTATATATTATTTTGAGATAATATTATTTTACATTATATTTTTTCTTATTTCCCTATTTTATCTATTGTGCATGATACAACTAAAAATATCAACTTAAATAGATGGCGTCATCAAGTTGGAAGACAAATATCATTAATAAATCAACCACTTTTAGAGAAAAAATTATTGTCAACTTTAATAATTATTTGTGACATGAAATCAATGTAAACTTATAAATTTAATATATTTATA